GGGAGAGACAGAGAGAGGGAGGGAGGGGAGAGACAGAGAGAGGGAGGGAGGGGGAGAGACAGAGAGAGGGAGGGAGGGGGAGAGACAAAGAGAGGGAGGGAGGGGGAGAGACAGAGAGAGGGAGGGAGGGGGAGAGACAGAGAGAGGGAGGGGCAGATGTTGATTGTTTTAAAACCTTTATTTATAAATACAATTAAAAAATCATGACACTAAATAGAAGCAACAAACACTGACTCTTCACTTCAAAGGAATGTTGAAGTCGTCTTTGATGCACCATCCATCAACAGAAGCCTCCATGTTGTTCAACAATAACAACTCTGGCCTCGACCGAGGAGAGAAAACAGGAAGTGCTCCCGCCCTGTCTTTCCCTCCACTTTGCTCTGTCTGCTGTCGAACATTTTGTTCTCTCCTACTTTCGAGTTGAGCAGCTGCCTCTTCGAGGCGTCAGCTCTCTTGTAGTAGATAAGATAAGATAAAGTTAAGGTGTTCTGAGAGCATGTTGTTTATAACAAAATGGACACTCGTTAGAAACAGGATTAAAAACAGATATAAAAGCGTTTACAGCAACAGCACCATGTAAAATCCTCCGTTGTAGATGTGTTTCTTTGTTTTAATAGGTTTTACTCTCCTGTCCACATCCAGTTTCTGTCTCCACACTGTGTCCGCTGTGTGCATGTCCACCAGTTTACAATCTGTTCCACATAACAAGGGTCCCGAGGTCCCCTGCAGATTCGGTGCGAAGCCCAGTTCTGTAAAAGGAGTTTCCTCTCCATCTTGACCTCCTCCTCCGTCAGTCCCTCAGCCCACCTGCTCAGGTGCTCCTGCTCTGCTGAATGGATTTCATGCCATTTCCTCTTTGCTAATCTTCCTTTTATTTCTTCCACAACCCCTCCCAGTTTTTCTGAACTAGGTTTTCTTTCCCAACATACACACCAAGATATTTAAAACCATTCCTTTTCCAGGTCAACCCCCCCCCCCCTCCAGCTCCCCACTGCTAATGCTTCGCTCTTTTCCCAGTTGACCTTTGCTGCTGAATTAATACTGAAGTCTTGGACAGTGTTCCCCAGCTGGCTGATCTCCTCTTGGTTGTTAATAAAAACAATGTCGTCAGCATAAGCTGATAAAAAGTGACTCTTCAACTTTGGCTCTGATTTTGCACAACACGGGTTCAATGGCTAGTGCATACGGCAGCCCTGAGAGGGAGCCGCCCTGTCTCACCCCCCTGTGCACTTTAAAAGGTGTCCTCAGACCTCCATTAATTATTTTAATACACTCTCAATGTCTTGGTACAAAACCTTGATCGTAGCCATGAGACCTGGGCTGAGGCTGAAACTCTCCAGAGTCTTCCAGAGGTAAAGGTGCTGAACCCGGTCAAAAGCCTTTTCCTGGTCTATAGAAATGAGACCAGTTTTTACACCCAAAGAACTAGAAATGTCCAAAATATCTCGAATTAAGGACACATTTTCCAGGATAGACCTACCAGGCACACAGTAGGTCTGGTCTTGGTGGATCACTTGGTCCATCACCTCTCTCAGGTGGTTTGCCAGCACATGGACAGGTTCTTGTAGTCTGTGCAGAGGAGGGACACAGGACACCAGTTCTTAATCTCCTGTCGGTCTCCTTTTTTGGGCATGAGAGGATTCACTGCTCTCCTGCAGCTTATCGGCAGCAACGTCTCTAAAACTCTCATTAAAAACGTTTAAAAGATCTCCGCCCATCTCGCTCCAGAACTCTTTGTAGAACTCTACAGGAATCCTGTCAATACCAGGGGCTTTCCCCTCCTCCACTCTGAGCTTGGAGAGCAGGTTCAGCTCCTCACTCCTGTTGAGAATCATGTGGATCTGTCTTCTCTGTGACTCCACATGTTTCAGCAGAGATGTTAAATCGTCTTCATGTAAACATGACTGAATGTGTTTGTCTCTTTAAAGACAAACATCCTCTCTCTAACCTGACGTCTGACCTTTGTCTTCCAGCCTCCCGTTGATCTCACTGACAAACTTCTGGAAACATCATGACCACCGCTGACGAGCTGCTGGACCAGATCTTCTCCTGGATCGAACAGAGGAGGCGCTGTGCGGACCAGCTGATCAAACTGGCCGTGGAGCTAGAGTCCCTCACGCAGAAATGTAAAGGTGGTGAATGTGTGGGCAGCTCGGTGGCTGTGGTGGGGGCTGCGTGTGTGATGGGCGCAGGCATCACTTTCCTCACTGGCGGAGCAGCTGCTCCATTTTTAGGTTTGTTAGGATCAACATATTTAGGAGCAGGTGCCATCATCTCTATAACAGCTAAACTCATCGAGCACTTCATGTCCAGCGACACCATGAAAGATGCAAAGAAAATTGAAGAGAACAGCAACAAATGTGCAAGAAACATTCAGCAACTGTTCGAGAAACTAAAGGCTGAAAAGACGGCAGCGAACAGATTCCCCAATCCGGACGATGTGGACAGACACATTCTGACTGACATTCTGAGAGCTGTGGCGAGACGAAGTGGAGTGAGGACGAAGATCGACTTCAGAATGGTCGGCGACGAGCCGTATTTGTCTTTTGGTGGAGGGCCACAAAACCTGGCGTGTGATCCCATGTTAGGCCACGGCATCGGCCACAGCCTCCCTATAATGGTGACAGCCGCTGGATTTTTAACAATTTTCACGCTCCGCGCCAGTGGGAAGAAATGTAACTTTTTGTTTGCTAAAGGAGCTCAGCAGCTGATCAAGGAAATATCTGTGACTGGAATGAAAACAGTGCTCAAAGGAGGCAGCATGGTGAGATCAACTTCCTGTATTCACACACTTCTCTTATTCCTTTCTTAAAGCTCCAGTGAGTCAGATTCAGGTGAAAGGATCTATCAGCAGAAATCTAATGTAGAATCATCCTCATGATGTTTTCACGAGTTCGTTTCATCTAAATTATATGAATTGTAGTTTTCTTTACCCCAGAAAATACCTTTTATATTTAAACACTTTATATTTACATACTTTATATTTATATACTTTATATTTACATGGAGGGGACCCTCTCTACAGAGGCCTCCATGTTCTTTACATTAGTCCAGACTGAACAAACTAAAACCTTTTGAGTTTTGATGACGACTGAAGCTGCCGCAGGTTCTTCTTCATGTTTGGAAGGAGGGGGGGAGGGGAGGGGTGTTCAGCTGCAACATGACACTTCACCACTAGATGTCACTGAATTCTACACACTAGACCTTTGATTGAATGTTTTTAATGAAGGATAATTTGATCATCTGATAATTAATCCTTTACTGATCTGTTTCCATCAATCATCAGGTTGTGGGAGGAGCCATTGGAATGGCATTTGCACTTCCTGAGGCAATCGACAACTGGACAGACCTGATCAAGAACAATAACGTGACTGAAGCTAGCCAATCCCTGCGAGACACAGCCAAGGCGATCAAAAAGATGACGCGGACCCTGAGTGATCAGTTTGAAGATATGAAGTAAGTGATTCTCAGTTTCTGCTCCTGCAGGTTTGTTTCCTCAGGTAAAGAGCTGCAGCGGGAGTCCGACAGGTCAACACGTCCAAACCACTTCTACAATGTGACCTTCACCTCTCATCAGTTTGATCAATATTCTTCCATGTTGTGTTGGTACATCAGGTTTTGATGCAATTTAATAGAAAAGCATCATCATTTATAACTGCAAACCAGCAACCACAGAGCAACACCTTAATGAAACCTGTTAGCAGCTAAAGCTGTTTTCAGGCGTGTTCCTCACGTGTTCTGCAGGTTCTGTCTGTGAGAACTAATGTCAGTGTCTCTGGACATTTTCTGGAACTTTTCCTGCAGCCTCTAGTAAAATTTCAGAGTGACACCGGAAACTTTACCAAGTTCCCCTGGTATTTAAGCTGGACACCACAGCAACCACCTAGCAAAATCCTGTAGCAGCCAATTAATTAACTGTCAATGATGAATTTTTGCATCATCACACCTTCACATCCTAATTGATCTATTTTCATTGTCACCATTAATAACTTATTATAATTCACTGCCTTATTTGCGATATAATATATTCATTTTTCAGTCATTATGTAAAGTAAAGCCTCACAGAGCTCAGTTATTACATTTTTATTCCAGGTGCTGAAACTTTGCATCTGTAGACTGCTTTGTGATTTAAAGGCAGTATTGGCTGAGGTGTGTCCCTGAGGTACGGACTCTCAGGGTTTATATGACATAGGCTGAAGAACCAAACGTACTATACCTTTCAGTCCCTCCTCCGGCATGGCAGCAAACCAAGCATGACCATGCAACACCACCTGGTGGCTAAACTAGACACCGTGCAGCAACAAGCTTGTGACCAGTCAGACAACTCAAGTCACTGTCCTGTAAACAGACAAACATCCAGCTCTTACAAGAGTTTGCTCAACACAACTGGTCATTTATACGTGGGTTTAGCACAGTGCAGTAATAGAGCATTTGTATCTACAGCAGATATGCAGCAGGGGGCACTGTTGTCAGACACACAGCAAGAGCCAGAAAGAAACATGGTCAAACAACCAGATTCAGATGCTCTAATAAAATCAACCTAGAGTAGATAGAAACGCCAGCTGCCCTAAAACAATGCTACCCTAAAGTACAGCAACAGTATGTATAACCAACTATAGCTGCATCCACTTATGGCTAAAGCTAGCAGCATCTGAGTGGACAAGGAAGGCAACGACAATCAGAGAATTCTCTATTTCAGTGTAAAATGTGTTTGCAGTCGTGCTAACTGGACCTGTTTTATTCACAGGCGGATGCTTGAGGAGATGGAAAAAGAACAACGTGAGCACAAGGAAACTTTAGCCAAAGTTAAGCGCAGCATTGAAAACCCAGAGAGAAGCTTTGAAGAGAAGCAAATATTATTAATGTTTGCCATGAAAACATGCCAGAATGAACAGGTGCGACAATGGCTGAGATGGAATTCAGGGTCGGAGACTTTCTTCAAACTTGTGGATTTGTTTAAGTTAATGCAAAAAGAAATCATGCAGAAGTCAGATGAGGACGAGTCTGATGATGAAGACGACGAGAGTGAAGTGGACATCATCTTTGTGGCTCACGGATCGATCAGAGACTCCAAGATTCCAGCTTCCTGTCTGCTGCCTCTGTCCAACATCAAGGACGTGCTCCTGTATTCTCCCTGGAACTGTCTCCTCGCTGCTCCGGCAGCGTACGACATCGCTACGGGACTCATACAACCTAATCACAGAAAGTTTTTATGTAATACAAAAAGTGGCTGTGAAATTCCTCATGAAAGACACGTGCCCGGGAAACTGCCAGATGACTGGAACTCAATGAAGGAAGCAGACCAGATTCCCAACATCATGGTCAGTACTCTCAGGGTTCCACAAGATGGTGCATGGAGGGCTGTAGTCCGTCTCACAGAAGAATATGGTAAACCAGGGAGAGGCCGTGTTGTCATCCCGTTCATCCTCCCTGGTCTGACAGTGAGAATCCCGTTCTACATCGTCACCTGGGTCATGTCTCTGGTGCTGTCTTTCTTCCAGATCCAAGCCACTGTTCATCTCGCTGCCTGTCTGGGCGATAAGTCTACAAAGAAGTTTTCCAGAGGGTTCCTGGAGGAACAGTACTCCTACACTATTGACAACAGCGCGATGACATCAGCAGCAGCCAGGGTTCCCATCAGACACGTACAGCTGTACAGGAACTTTCAGGCCATGTTTGATTAGACAGACAACTTTAAAAAACACCAAGTTAGAAAAAAGATTGAATTTTAATTTATCCAGTGGATTTTCATCTTGATTTTTTTTTTAGAGATTCCAAGTTTTGTTCCAGCAAAAGATTCTTCCATGCCTCAACAAACAATCCAATTTAAATCTGAAAGATGGCTGCCCGGAATCGTGTTCAAGAGTTATGGACATTAAAAAACATATTTACTGGGATCTAACACTGATGTGGAGGAGTCAGGACATCTCCCACAGCAGGTCCTTGGATCAATGGACGGACCTCAGTCAAATTAACACAACAGCCAACACTAGAATCACCTCCACCAACCAAGATCTTTTTTCAAGACTCATGAGGTCACTGTGACCGTTGACCACTGAGACTCATCAGTTCACCTGAGTCTAAATGTATATTTGTACCAATCTGAAAGGACCTTCTTGTGGTGGTCATTAGATCTCCTGCCAAAGAATCCAGTAAAAAATAAAAAAACTGTGCCATGTACACAATGTAATCTGATTACTCTCTGGGACGCAGAGAGTACTGATGTACGTTTGCTTCCAAGCTGAACTGGCCCTTTGTTGTTAACGCAACCTCTGAAGCAGCTGAACTATCAGACATGATGCATTACTGCCCGATGAAGAGATGAGGAAGACGTGTTCATCACCTTTTCACATCTGGCGCCAACAGAATGAAAAGTGTCAGAGCAGCAACACTGTTCATACTCTGATCCATCAACGATCACTTATATTGTAATACATTTAATAATGATCAATTATCTATCATGACATCATTGATTCCTCACGATGATTACTAATCTTATTGGCTGCACACGTTAAAGCAGTGCTACATTATGACATCATGATGAATTGATTACCACAAATTGACGTCTTCTTACACCCAAACATTTACGTTCTGATTAAATCATTTATTCAGTGTCTGAGACATGTTAGCATTTGAACCCATGAGATGTGTTTCCTGTTTTCAGTTGCTGTGATTTGCTAAAATGAATAAAGTGTTTTTAAAGCTGAAATGAGAAGTTACCTTTGTCACCACAGATCCTGCTACCGGGTCCACGCTACCGGAGCAACATCTGGAGCAGCATCTGGCCAACGACAAACACAGTGATGACGTCAACAAGCAACACAGATTCAAAGCCGAGTTCATCAATCATGTTCGTGTTGATGTTGTGGTTCAGTTTTATTGATTTTCATTCGAAAGAAAAACAAAACACAAATAAACATTACAGTTGTGACCTTTGACCTCTGACACAAACATTAAAAACAAGACGTTCAGTGTCTCAAAGCTTCAAAATGAACAGATGATAAAAACTGTAGTGTCCAGACATCACAAACATCAGCGGATCGACAGGAAGTGATGTCACATGAGAGGAACAGGCCAAGGCTCATCACATGGTTCATTAGAGGTCAAAGGTTATAGGTGATCAGGTGCAGTAAAAACGTCCGTCGTCGACTCTCCTTCTCTTACGACTCTGCTGCTGCTCAAAGAACAGACGGATGTCATCAGGGGTCACGACCTATCAGAGAACAGTCACATGACATCAGAGGTCACGACCTATCAGAGAACAGTCACATGACATCAGAGGTCAC